TTTTCTCGCTCTCTCTCTACTCTCCTCTCGTAAATTCTCTGTGGCGATGGAATCAAAATCAAAGACGATAAGAGAAACGAAGGCCTTCGATCATCATCATCATCCATGATTCCATCGAGACGAAAAGCGAAGATCCGAGGCATCGATCTGGATCTAGGGCACGAGGAGCTCCAGACATTTCTCACGGTGATCGATCTGAGACCGGATGAAGACAAGGAGTGCGAAGAGTTACCGGTCGTTAGAATCATCAGCGATCGGATCCCAGAAGAAGAGCGATCGGAGTTGGAATTTGTGGTGAGATCACATTAAAGATTGAAACTTTCAGTTAATGTTTCGTAACCTAAGCTTTTCCTCCTTTTGGAACAGATTTCGATAGAGGTCGTGAACTTGGATGCGTTGAGGAGGATAGTGAGCAGAGGGCATTTGGATGGAACTCTCCGTGCATTTGTAGGGAAGGTGAAATCAATTAAAGTGCATGACATTATGCATTATTGCACAAAACAAGGAATATATGGAAACGCTTAATGGGATATCATACTCAATCATGTTGTGGGTGATTGTAGAAATGAATTCATAATCCGATCTGAGTTCCATGATCCTCGTCAATCACTAATCACATGCGTTGTCGTATTTAGTTAGTTTAGCAATTAACTAGTTCTTTACAGAAAGCATGCTATTTGCCTACATCAAAGGTTGAGTTTCATTTTGCTCTGATCTATTGAGCTACTTTAAAATATCAAGAGAAATGATCTAGAAAAATTGTGTGACTAGGTGCAATACAGTACGATGATTCATTTTGCTCTGTCCGATAACATGGACCAGTCCGTAATATGGCCGTAGGATGTGCTTTCTTTAATAATTTGGTTGCCTATTAGATTAATTAAATACAACTATGCATGTAATTAGTAGATCATGAAACTCAGATTTGATTATGAATTCATTTCCACAGTAACCCACCCATCAGATAATTTTGCTAGAGTATGATGTGTTATTAAGCATTTTGATTTACTTTGTTTCTACTTTTATTTAGTGTCTTCAAAAAAGTTTGAAACGCTATAAATAGAGGCATGGAATATCGAGTAGGTGTTAGGTCCCTCTATTCTATACAAATTTCGCTCTTCTTAGTTTTAGCCATTGTGGAGTAACTCATGTAGAATCCAAGAGGCTAAACGACGCGTTCAGATTATCTTCAGCTTGATATATATTGGGTATGCGTATTAGTTTTTTCGGACTAAACAATATGGAAGTGTTGAATGGGGTATCTCACTATAGCAAAATTATATGATGGTTTAGTGTAGAAAATGAATTCATTGTCAGATATGAGTTCTCTGATCCCCACTAGTCACATGCATAGTTTTATTTAATTAGTTTACTAATTTAAAGAAAGCATATGGTATGCCTACATCAAGATTAGTCTATGTTGTAGGATATTTGGATAAGCTTTATAGGTCAAATCAAAATGACACATAATTATACTACCCGGTCACATAATTTATAGGCCATTTCTTTTGATATTTTAAAATAGTCCAACAGGTCAGTGAATGCAAGAGGCTAAACAATATGTTGAGATTATCTCTTGAACAAATCCAAAATGATTCCAATGTTAAAGTCTTCTTAGGCCTCTCTCAATATCCTTAGATGAAACTTGAAAGACAGTCATTCAGATCTTGATAATAACCTTATGATGGAGGAAGACATAATTATCAAGTGTATATGGAATGAGAATGGAGAAGACCGAGTGCCAATACCTTGTTAATGTAAGGGACATTGGGATTAGGGTTGGAGAATGGGTACATGGTCTTGGACAATGTTAGTGGTTGTTGTCACTGAGAAAATACATAGTGCGGAATGTACAATGTCTGCTTTTCATTTGAAGGAGAGTATCCAATGAGTTGGCTAATAGTGGAGGTTGGTTGACAAATAAAATATTCCCACTATGAGAGGAGATGATGGTGTGGAGGGAGAATAATCAGGGAGGATAACATATGTTGGATCTTCTGACAAATAAATCAAGGAAAGTCTTAGTAATTTTGCATAATAAGGAAAAGTTGCTAAATTTATCGTTGGAATAAAAGCAAAGTTGCTAAATTCATCGTTAAAATAACAACTCTCAAAGTCTAAGGTCTCAGTTACAATTTGCAATTCTTCGTCGTGATGGAGAGAGTGGTCTAAGCTGCATGTCGTCTCGTTATTGCTTGCCATCTAATGAGATTATATTGATTATTTGATTTTAAATATGAAGTTCTAGCAAAAGTTTAAAACTGATACTGCTATCTAAATTTGTTTTTATTATAATTAATTCAGCACATGAAAAACTGAAGTAGCCAAACTACATTAAACTTTAACCATTAATGGTGTAAAGCATGTGTATCTATATGAGCACTATAAATGTTTGATTGGAGATATTGGCATTTTAGCACATTACAAAATGATATTTCTTATGACACTTGATACTATGTGCCTTAGTTTGTTCTTTTGTAGAAAATTTCTTGTAAGTGAATCTAATGTATTTGTACATTAATTATTAACAAACCCTAAAAAAAGTTAAAAAAGTGGATGTTCTATCTAAAAATTGTTCTTATTATAGTTGCTTTGGCACAAACAAACCTAAAGTGTCCACAGTACATGAATTTTTAACCACCAGTGGTGTAGAGCATGTTTGTCAATATGAGCATTATAGATGTTTGATTGGAGGCACAAAATGGTATTTTAGCGCATTACAGAAGGATAGTTCTTATGACACCTGATACTGATACTATGTGCCTCATTTTGTTCATTTACAGGATGTTGCTTCTAAGTAAATGTAAATGTACTACATGACTATACATATATATTAACAGTGGCAGATCTAGAATTTCTGTAATGCGGTGTCACTATATACTTAAGAGTAGTGGTGGAAACGAACCAAATATTTAACAAATAGTTTGATATTTATTCGTTTTAAGTATTCTGTCATATTCAATTCGATAGTTCATTTAACAATAAACGAATAGTTTTTAGTTTTTGGTCTATAAATGAATAGAATTTAACCACATGTATATTCGATTCGTTTGTTTAATAAATTATATGAGAAGTGTCAGCTCCATCATCACGTGCCTGCTCGTTTACCCGTCCTAGGTCTTCGCGCGTACACTCTACCAGATTGATGTGATATGTCCTCACGTCCTTCAAACTCGTCGATGTGATTCTTATGGAACACATTTGCTATTCTCACTTTGATCCTATTGAAGATCCCTAACATTGTTGAATTCTGAATCTCGACGATATGCTCATTTATATCAACCTCAATCTCATTAAAAGCATGGATCTGCAATTTAATCAATATATACGCAGCTTAGCAAATAATATAATTACAAAAAGAAAGAATTACCGGTTTAATTGAGTTTAAAAACTTACATAAGTTTGGGGGACTGTGCGGAGTTCAGAGAGAGAACGAGAGAGACAAAGAGAACAGGAGAGAGCGAGTGAGGTTCAAGTCAGGGAGAGAGATATATAAAGAGAATGGCAAGTGGAGCCTACAGACTTCATGGGATTTGGAATCCTGTGAAGTTGCAGACCAATTTCACAGAGAACTCAATTCGAGCTCTCTGTTAGCTACAGCCTACAACTTCACTGGATTTCAAATCTCGTGAAGTTGCAACCAAACTTCATGGCTGTTCAAATCATGTGAAGTTTGGTTGTATTTTTTATTAGAGTGGGTAATTAGTAACTAAACTTCACATGACTCTAAATCTTGTGAAGTTTTCTAAATTTGTTAACCATTTTCGACCCGGTTTCAGCCAGGTGGTAGAAACTGGGTTGAAAATGGTAATTAAATCTCAAAAGGGGTCGTTTTTTAAAATTAAATTTCTAATAGGGTCTATTTTAAAAATTTGTCCTTACCCTAATTAACTTTTTTTTTGGGTCGAAGGTAGAGGCTATGCGGACATATCTAACTATGTTTGGCATCACTATACTCACCTACGGTTAATTAGGTAAAAAAAAAATGTGGGTGACAAGTATGGATTTGTTGTTTTCTCTCATGACTTTGTCCAATAAACTAGTTTGAAATAAATGTGAAGTTGGGAGCATTGGGTTGGAATAATTGTCTTGCACTGACCATGGCTTGATTGATTCAGCCACCCAAGTTTGTTAAATGTTAAAGATCTGTCACCCAGGCCTGTCAATCCAGATTATGCATTTTGGAGGTCATAAAATTTAAAACCTCGGGAATCCTGTTATCTTCAATAATCATTTCAAGCATCAATGTAAAACAGCTATTAGATCTATGGATACTAGAAGATCATGTTGCAGTAGTAAACTTTTGCTTCATACTTGATACTCCATGTGATAAATTTCAAATTTTCTACAAACCCACTTTCAGTTCTTAGGTTGTTCCCATGTAATTTTGACAATGATTTTCTTTCTCTTTTCTTCTCCTTTCACTTATGTACAGATTAATGTGTAATTCTATGCATTTCGCTGGATCACGTTATTGTTGACTCAAGAATTTGAATTCTACTCCATCATGATGATATGTGACTCTCTTCTCAGCAATCCTACTGGTTACTGGCGTGCAGGTAGTTTAATCCATTCATTCTCGGAAAGCTCAACTTTTCCTACAAACCTAGAGCATGCATATCTTGAATTGGTACGTCTACCCACTCCGGTTGCAGAGAAAAACGAAATAAAAGAATGGAAAAAGAATTGAAAAAGAAGAATCATAGTTTGTGTGTTTTGTAGGAGATGCTGCTGAGAGTTTGTCGTGCCATGCTGCTGAACGTTAGGCATGAGCTCTTGAATGGTGATTTTGCATCTAATCTCAAGCTCCTTCAACACTATCCTCGAACTGGCATAGACAAAAGTATTGGATGTGGCTCGAAAACTAACTCCTTTATCATCGTCTCCTCATATTAGGTTACTTGTTACAGCGAGCTGATTATTCAAAACTGTTGTTAAAGAAGAAACATCGATGATTCATGTACATGTTTCTACTATTCGCTGCGGATTGTTTCTGCTAAGTATTTTGTGCATAGTATTGTATTCAGTTCATATTAATCATGTGAAAACAAGATACATTAGGACCAGAAACAGAGAGACTATATTCCGGTGGGCCGACTACACTGAACTATGGTATCTGGATGTATCATCTTCCGTAGAGGGTTATATTGGACATTTTCTCCTGTGTACTGTGTATTTAAATTATATTATAATTATGTATTTGTTATTAGTTAGTGAGTTAATTTTGTCGCATATCCACTTAAGAAAAAAGAATAAAGCACGAAATTCTCATCTATTAGGTTGAAATGTTAGTTAACCGCTTCTTATTGGTCATAGGTATCTATTGTATGTTGATGTGGCGTCTCTCCCTTGCGTTTGATTTTTTTGTTATCTCTCTAGCTGCAATTTAAGGATTTGTTTGGATACCATGGTGTTTTATTTGTTTTTATGGTGATTTTGCCAAAAGCAAAATACGATGCGTTGTGTGTTTTGAGCTAAATCATCCTCAAACCAAAAACACGATACTTATTTCAAAACACCTTTCAGGTGTTTTAAGTTTGGAGTTTTGGTTTTAAGTTTGAGAATGTGTTAATATAATATCTAACATAATATATTAAATGTATTTAATATATAGTGATTATTAACATGCTTATTATTATACTATAACATATTATTTTGTATTTTAGTTAATCTAATATATTAGTAATATTTATTAAATAATATAAAATGTAATAATTAAAATATCGTATATAATAATATAATAACACATTAAATACTAGTATTTAATATGTTAATAATGTATTATATAATAATCAAATATAAATAAACTAATAAAAAATTATTGATAACAAATAATAATATAATAATGATCTAATAATATACTATATAATATTATAATCACTATAATATTATTAATTTTTAATAAATAAATTATAATAAATTAATAATTATAAAATATTATATAGTAGTAACATATTTAATAATAACATAACAATATAATAATATTATTATAATAACATATTGTGTAGTTAATTATATATTAATATATAAAATATTAAATATTATGTAATAAATAATATAATTTATTATATGTGTAGTTAATTATATATTAATATATAAAATATTAAATATTATGTAATAAATAATATAATTTATTATACATTAAGTAAAATAATTTGTAATAATAAAATAATTTATTGCTAACAAATGTTAATGTAAAAATAATATATTCATAATATAATAATATTTATTAATATCATAAATACTAATATATTATTAAAGTACTATTAATAAACTTTAACATATTAAAAACTATAATATATTATATTATATTAAATAATTATAATATATTAAATTATTAATAACATACTAGTAATAACATAATATTAACATTATTAATAATATTATATTATATGAATAATATAAATATATTATATAACATTAAAATATATATGATGTATTAATTTATTAATAACATACTAGTAATAACATAATATTAACATTATTAATAATATTATATTATACAAATAATAGTATAATATTATATTAATAAAAAATAATGTATAACAATAACAAATTGGTATACCAAAAAATTAAGTATATAATTATTAAAAAATAATATGTAATATTTATAATATAATATAACTCATTAAAGTACAATATAATTTTATAATACATTATACAATATTATATTGTATTATTTTTAATACTTATAATATTATAATAATATAAAATAAATATTATAACATTTTATTATAATATACTTTATTATCATTGATGTATAATATATTAATAATATGTTTAATACTAATTTTATAATGGGTCAAACTAATATTGACAAAAAAAAAACTCAACATGATGTTTTGAAAACACTTTACAGGGAAAACACAACACCATGATGTTTTTTTATAAAAATATGATAATGAAAACATCATTGTATCCAAAGGAAGACTTAATTTTAAGTTTGGTACTGTGTTTATTTTTACATTTGTTTGATCTGAAACCGAATTGATTGGTTATAGCTGTTCATTTGATTGTTTGATCCGAAACTAGATTTTCTTCCTATGTTGTAATTTCTATTTGCTAAATTACGTAATAGGTTTTACATTTCTTGCTTTAGTTTGTTGTAAACTTATCAGCCAATTTTTCTAAACATCACGAGGAAAAAAAAATCTTAACTTTGGACGACCATTAGATAATTATCCATAACTTTCGAACTATCAGAACCCCAACCCCTCGCTTAAGTCAAAAGTTATTGGAAAAACTCTCTTTTAAGTTTAAAATATTATTAGAAAATCTTCACGTCCTTTCAACAATTATGACAAATAATAATTGAGAGATCAATATTTTTATTATTTCTCTATAAGGTGACTATGATTCATTCATTCTAAATATGACATTCGCTCTATCCTTGTGAATTTACTATTTTACATTTGAAGATAAATCACGATCATTCACTAAACAACTCAATAGTTATGATAAGAAATAAATGCTTTTGTACTACGTCTTAGTAGTGACAATGATCTGAATCTGTTTTTAATAGATTGTTTTTATACATATCCGATCCGAGGTACATTTTTCAAAGTAACATGCGCTTCACGTATATTGACTAAACCCGCCAATAATGTATAGTTCCTCTCCGTGCCCATCTAGATTAATCAGAGAGAACCAACGTGCGCCCAATTCGTTTCGGACCGGGTTCCAAGTTCCATGTGCTCAAATTATAACTACGGTCGAAGTTGTAGGGATCTAGAAGGAGAAAAATTAATTAATGGACGCGTTTTTTTTTATCTTCTCTTTCTTTTTAAAAGGACATCTTTTTGTTCTAGATGCATAATGACGGTCAATCTGATACGCCGATGAAAGTCCGGATCTTGTTAGGTCAGTGCAAACTCCGCACTCCATGATTCATCGTTGTATTCAGAAAACAAATAGAAAATTAAATTAAAAGGTCTCACGGATGGTGTCCTTATATTTTCTTTTAGGAAAATAACTTAGGGACCCAAAAAACATGGAACCCTACATGGGACATGTGAGGTGTCGGCTCCCTGTCCCATGATGCACTGTTCATGAACAGTGCATCATGGGATAAAGAGCCGATAACTCACATGTCACATGTAGGGTCTCATGTTTTTGGGTCCTTGTAACACTACCATTTCTTTTATTATATTACTTCTTAGTACATGGATTTATATGATTTTTCTGTGTTCTAAATAGTACCTATTGACAATTAGAATTACTCTTTTTTGTTGGATTTGTTTTTTTTTTCTTTATCAAATTTCAATAATTTTTTACCAAAGTTTATTACAAATCCAATCTAATATGGGTTAGTTAATGATTCTAAGGACCAATGAAAAATAACAAGCTTTTATTCGAGCAAAAAAAAAGGTACCAAGGCGATTGCTTGATTGTTTAATAATAAAAGTTGAAATAACCGTTACTAAAATTAGCTTGCTAGAGCTAGTCATACGACACGAGTGGGCAAACCAATGGAATTATCAATCTTGATTCTTTTTTGACGATAAAAACAAGGGATATACCCTGTTCATTAATATTAATAAACAAATATCTTTACAAAAGTACTTAGGAACCAAAACTCCCTGAACCAAAAAGAGATGTTAACCACTGCTCCTTCTAATCGGATTTTCCTCCAAAGCACTTGCCAACATGAGAGCTTTCTTGTTGATACCAGCACCTGCCCATTCATGTAAAGCAACAATAGTAGAGTTAATTATTGAATGGGCAGAAAAAGGTATTTGCTCAAAAAAGAACTTGTTTCTTGAACACCAAATGAACCAACATGCTGCAGAGAAGATAGTTCGCCAAATAAGACCTTCCTTATTATAAAGCGAATTAACTGATGACAATAGTCCATCAAGTGATGAAGGCCAGACGAAAGGTAACCAGTAATCACTAAAATGTTTCCAAATTGATTTTGCAATGTTGCATGAAAAGAAGATATGGTTGCAAGTTTCAGGGTATATTCCACATAAGATACATGAGGTTTCACCTTGCCAACCTTTCTTAATTAAATTGTCCTTAGTATCAATCTTGATTCTAGCACAAGGAGGCACTCATAATGCCAAAATCACCACCGCAAGTGTATAATAACTTTCTAGCTAACCAAATTATACAAAGAATCTTATTTTCTTTGCTCTTTTCTTCTTTTCCTTTCCCTTTCTCTTTCATTTTCTTTTCTTTCTTGTTCCCTCAGTCCAAACGCAGCCTCAAAGAAGACCTTTCTTAATTAAGGAAGAAATAAATTCACAGATGAATTTTACAAGATTTTTGCATATTTTCACCAGTAGCCTGCACAGTTATCTCATTGATCACTTTTTTTTTTCGCTTGCTCGTAGATTTGCATGGAAACCTATTAGTTATCTGGCTTTGCACACACGAACAATTTCATTGGTTCTATGCTTGATTTGATCGAACCCAAGAAAAGTAGAGAAGACCATTAAGTTTGTATAAGTCATATTCGAGAAAAGTAGAGCTAACAAACGTACATAAACCTTTATCAAATTACTAAATAGAAATGTTTAAGAATTTATATTTTTAAATTCTGGATGAAGAATTCAATTTATTCAAGCTTATTTATTGCATTTTCATATGGGGGTGCTTAAGATGTTTCAACACTAGTTTTAATCACTGTAAACGTTAGTAAAATAACAATAAACTTTTTTTTTAATACAAAAGACATCTTGTGGATGCGACGACCTTGAAATGTTAACGTTGAAAGTATTACCGCATTGTCTCCAAGCTCTATATATTCAAAATAGACGATAGCTACATACATCATATCATACTCCCTTTAAAAGCACGAGTTCGGAAAAAATTTTCGATAGATAAAAATATCCTTGGAATTCAAATATTATTCCATTGGTAAGAATAAGTTGATAAATTAATGGATTCTTATTGAATATACATAGTATGAAGATAATGATATAGATTAAATTGATATGTAAATCTATATAAAATTA